TTTTTTAAAGGGGTCATATGATGTTGCTAAAAAGAACATTGTTTTGTGTATTTGGTGTAATGAAATGCGTTTTAAGGTTCAAAAAACACATTTTTTTCCCACATGCTGTACATATTGTTTCTCCTCTATGCCCAGCCTTTCTGAAACGCGTCGATTTTTACAAAGCTGATCGGTCTGAAAAGCGAGGTGTGCTCTGATTGACCAGTGTATTATCCAGTGTGTTTTGATTGGCCGAATACCTCAAGCGTGTGTGATGGAAATGTTATGACACTTACCATATTGTGATGCCGTGTCCCGGAGCGACGAGACAAAAACATTAAAACCCATTACAAACGAGGCATTTGTTGCATCCAGTGGAAACATCTTGTAACACTCCAAAGAGAAAGGAAAACTTGAAATCGCATCATATGACCCCTTGGTTCCCCTATGATTACAAGCCAATTAACCACTTTTAGTGCTATTTAGCACCATTTTTGTTTAGAGTGTAGTTGCAAAAATGTCGTTAGCATTGCTGAGTTTTTTTTCCCAGTTAGGCTACATTATCTCCCAAACCACAAAATATCAATCTATTCTCCAAACCGATTGTCTTATAGGACATAGGAGTCTAAATGGCCCTTGAGTTCCAGTGTCATGCAGAGTTTACATTTAGTCATTTAGCAGATACTAACATTTTTTAGATATATGAAACAAACAAAAACTGATTTCATTTGATGAATCTAAGTGGTCATAAAAAGTCACACCTGGGCTGTTTACTGAACAAACACATACTGTGGAAATGAAGGAGTGAGACTATAAAACAGAGGTGCCCAGTCCTGCTCCCGGAGATCTATCTTCCTGCAAAGATCTGCTCCAACCCTGATCAAACACAACTGAACCAACCAATTTAGATCTTCAGGAGCACTTGATAATCATTGTTGGATGAGGGTCTAAATTAATAAATAAATAAAATATAAAATAATAATAATAAAATCAAAAAGCATAACATATTTCACAGCAGTTATTTGCCTAACACTTCAGCCATCTACTGGCCATTATTGTCATAATATAATTTCGACCTAACATGAAGTCATGGTATTTTTCTTTTTTTCACTAGATGGCAGCAATCTTACACAAATAGCTACATATATTCTCTCTCTTTTTTTTTTTTTCATCTTTAAAGTTTAGATTTTTTTTTTTGTAATAAAGATGCATGACCTTCTCTGAGTCGACTTGTGTAGAAAAGTTTTTACATATGTACAATGTCAAAATTCATGCAAGGTGATTTAATGATAGTTATTGCTCTTTAAAATTTCTGTAAATAATGATTTACTTGATAAAATCTTGTTAGAGTAGCTATATTAGACCATTTTTTTTGGTGGTTTATAAAAAATCTCTTTACCAGCAAAGGATTAAAAAAAGAAAAATCAGATGAATTGGACAGAGCAGTAGGCTATTCATCATAACCTCCACGGTATTCATAAACTGTATAACAACAGAGCTAAAACTGGCAGGTGTCGAGCGCCCTCTTCAGGCTTGAGCTTTCATTACCTATAGACGTCAGTCACCTTTGGCAACCAAAAAAAACAAAACAAAAAAAAAACTACTACCAAGAACCAAAACGTCATCAGAATGGACGAATTATTGCATCACAATTGAACATGTAAAGTGCAATTAAGCTGTCTACGCTTGCACTTCCCATTAAGTCAAACGAGCATGTACAAGTGCTTTGTAATCAGAGAGAATAGGAAACCTGCTAACCAGCTTGCTGATGATAATGGAATTGTTGTCCAAAAGATGTTCTTTTATCCATGTTAAAACAAGTACAAAATGCTGTCCTGCATTAACATGTTTTCCTATTGAAACAGGATATTTGGGTGACATAATGCTTGTCCCATTGAGTTCACATCACAGCAATGCTGTGCTACTTTATATTTCTATAATGGGGTCAGAGTTTGGCTATTTAGCATGTACCTCAAAGCAAACTTACATGAACTAAAATCCGCAGAAAGACCATTTTGAAGGTTACGAAAGCTGTGAAATCTACAGTGCCTTGCAAAAGTATTCATACCCCATTCATTTTTTCACATTTTGTTATGTTGCTGCCTTATGTTAAACTGCTTTATATTACTTTTTTTCCACATCAATCTACACTCCATACACCATACTGACAAAGCAAAAACAGAACTGTCACAACTTCGTAAATGTATTAAAAATAAAAAAAACTGAAATAAGTACATTGCATAAGTATTAAATATACTACATATTTTAGTTATTTACAGTAACTAAATATTTCGCCGAAGCACCTTTACAGTCTGAAGTCTTTTTTGTTTGATGCGACAAGCTTTTCTCATCATCATTTGGCAATTATCTG